ACTATGTTATGAACTGTTCAAACTCAGATATTAAATCAAATAGAGAAATTTTGTTTCACAATATTAGCTTTCCAGAATTTGAAAAACTAAATCAAGAATGTAAATTCATTTATTTGTTAAGTGCTTTGGATACTCATCTTATGATACCTTTCGCCAAATATGTTAATTCTATTTTAAATGTAGTTAATAGTTGTATTTAGTGGCCATACTGCCGTATTGTACTATATCGGTGTTGTGTCAATAAATTATTATTATTATTATATTATTATCAGTATTTAGTTACAGGTGGATGTCTGTAATAAAACTGACACCTTTGATCCCAATACTACTGCTAACTGAACTCATATACAAAGTTCATTCCTTTATTTAATGGATCTTGTATAGTGTTGAATGCTGATCTATACAGTAGGAGTTTCTGTCATGTATCCACAAAACATTGATAACATGTGTGAGACTGATTCAGCTATGCTTAATATATGTGATTATACGCAGTAGGCAGTTGTTAGAAACAACAATGTGTGCAGATTTTCAGTATATTATTGTCAGTCATTGTTGCTATGAAGTCAGTTATCACAAAGATATAAATTATTAATGTGATATTTGATATGCAGAACAAATGACACTTGATATTCTCATCCTTTTTACACTCAAGCTTTAAAGTTGGACAGTTGGTTATACAGTAAGGATATGAAGCTTTGCTTATAAACGTATTCATACAAATTTGTAAATACTAATCATTAGTTAGTCCCCGTTCAGGTTTTGTCAAATGTTCATTTTTCCGTTTTCCATATTCCATTTTTCGTTTCCAACATTTTCTCAGAAATTCTACAGCATATATCAGTGAAACTTGGCAGATTGATGAACAAGTCTCTGCTGAGTATGCACGTAATTTTTTTTCCAGATCTGAAAATCCCAAGTTGGTCTTTTTCACGATTTTCATCAAAAATTTCCTCTCCCGGCAACATTGACAGAACGTCTGAGCATGCTCAGAATAAATTAATTACTGTAAAATACTTTATTTTTGCTTGCAACATTTTTTTGCTATTTTTCCTGAAGGAATGTTTCAGTTAAAATAAAATCCAGCAAATATACCCTTACCAATTATGTTTAAATATTGGGATAGTATTTAGCATATTAACTATAAATGTGCATGAAACAGTTATAAAGAATAGTTTGAATGAAAGTGGTCAGGGCATGCCCCAGAAACTGTTAATGACATGTCCAAATGTTGATTTTTGGCACAATTAATGGCCTTTGTACCAAATCTGTACAACCATCTCTGTAAAATGAGCAGACATCTCTGTAAAATGAGCAGAACAATCGTAAAAATCAAAATGACCACCAGTACGCCATTTTGAATCTAATCACGAAAAACAATGATGTGCATCATGATCAGTAACTCACTATGACTGATGTCATTGCAAAGTTTGAATGAAATCGGTCATGGGATGTCAAAGAAATGGTTGATGGTATGTTTGAATTTTGTGATTTTATTTGTTTTTGATGAATATTGCTGCCATTCAGCTAAATTTCGATGAAAACTTAAAATTACCGAAAACAACATTTAACCCATTATATCTTGCCTTTATACAAAATGTATAATGAGCAGAACACTTGTAAAAAACAAAATGGCCATTAGTCCGCCATTTTGTAACGAATCACAAAAAAAAAATGATATGCATCGATAACCCACCATGACTGTTGTCAGTGCCATGTTTGAATTAAATCGGTCAAGTCATTTTCAAGAAATTTTTGATGGCATGTTTGAATTTTGTAATTTTATTTGTTTTTGACTAAAATGGACTCCATTCTACTAAATTTTGATGAAAACGAAAAATACCTGAAAACAGCTTTAACCCATTATAAGGTCAGGGCATGTCTGAGAAACAGTTGATGACCTGTCCAAATGTTGATTTTTGGTGTTTTTTGGGACACAAATGGCTGCCAGTCGGTCAAAGTTCAAGCAAATCAAAAATAAATTGATGAGCACATATCTGAAATTATGACTTGTCTTTGTATAAGTATTTAAGAAAATATATTCAGGTTTCTTTAAGAAATGACGACAGATGCACTGACGGAACCCAAAACATAAGACTAAACTGTGACTGCCCACTCAATGAGATTTCAGTGCTTGCTAATTAGATAATATTGAACTCGTTGATCTCAATTAGGATTTACCTTTTCACCGCTAGTTCCTTTTTTCATCACAAGTTCACAAAATAGTTTATCGTCTATACTTTTCTTCAGAATATTGCAATAAATGTTTATATTATTTAATAATTACTCTAATATTAGTCATTTCCATGTAGTTGCACCATGCATTACTGTTGGCATAGTGAGTCATGTTATTACATTGTATATCCGTACACTTGGCAGGCTAAACAAATTGAAATTATACATGCCTAGTGATCTGATGAAAAATATCGTCATAATCTGCTTCAATGAAATTTTACTAAATAACAATATCATTGAATGAAGTTTAACGCTGTTGTTCTCGGTTGGTTGATAGAAAGATTTGATCTGCAACATGGAATGCAATGTAATTTGAATTTTGAGGTTAGAATTATTTGTTTTGAATGTCGGCAGAATGTTCATTTGTTTTTTTGGATTTGAGCCTCTGCAATATATAGAGTACAGTGAAGAAACTGGTGTATGAATTGTCATGGGAAATAGAAATCGACTGGCTATTCTCAGTATGTACAGCAGGATGTTGCCATGGAAACAATTGACTATCTACAAAATAAAACACTTACGCTGACTACACAAGTTGATTTCACAAGACCAAAAGTTTTGAGGCTCAGTGATGCGTACAAATATTAGCTTTTCAACAACATATTCCTAAATTGACTAGTTGATGTCTTTAATTCCCACTTGGAATAAAAATCAAACCTAGATGAAAGTGAAAACGAAAAAGAGATTCTGACATCATTTAGACCATTGTGGTTGCTGTCTCACTCTGCTTTCATGAAGTGACCTGGCATGATTATCTGCATTCTGAATGGAAGTAGTTGCATTTTCTGGCAGGGTTGGCGAAATTTGGGCATTATACCTGCCCTGGTGACTGGCATGTAATTTTTAGAAATATGTCAACCTGGCTTCTTTGAACACTTTGAACAATTAATTTTGGTTTCCAGCAATCCCATGAAAAAATACGCTTTTGGTATTTGTACACACATTTTAGATTATCTCACAGAAACAAGTCAGAGCTAGAATTGACATTCCATGCAACTGTATACCACTGGAACCAGAGTAAACATAATGCAACATACCACCACTCACGTATATACCGGTATCACTTCCAGCAGTAGGATACAAAGCAATGAAATTTTGTGCAAGGAAAATCTGGCACTGTATGGTGCGTGCCAATACAGTAATGCAACAGAATTTCATGGCAAAAAGTTTGACAACAGTGCAATTATTAACCGGAAACTACGAAAAATATTTGAAGCATTAATGCAGATAGGACATCTACTAGATCTGACCAATATATTTAATGATTAACATTTTTGATTAATTATATTTTTTAAGAGTTATACTATTTGTAATGTGTATTCAAAAAATGTTGTCTTTCTTGATTTGACTTGCATTGAGTTCAAATAATTTGAACAAAATAAATTTGATTTGCAGAAAGCAAACCAGAAAACATGTTATGGCTTAAATGCTATAATTATATACTCAGCATCCATACATAAACATGAACTTGGATGAATGTCATGGTCTTCACACAGTAGAATACACCTCATATTATTTGTTGAATTTTTCATGTAAATTTGGTTGTTATCACATCACTCATGTGATTATTAATTAGTGTGAATTAAATGTTGTGATGACAGTGTGGAAAATACTAAATTCTTCAATTCATTTCTATTCATGCTATAGCATTGTTGTGTATTTTGACAACACTATTAACATTTATAACTCTGTATGTTTTTTTTGCTTGTTGTGACCTAAATGTACCAGGTAATTAAACACTGTCAACTATATGTACCACGATTTTTATTATTTTGCTTTGTTGTTTTTAGAGCCAAATTCACTATAGCGATGGTCGGCTTGGTGATACAACATTAGTCGTTGACATATCGTCCAATTCACAACAGGTAAGAATTAAGCGAGAAAATGTTGTAAGAGAAAAATGTTTGCGTGTTAATTAAAGTCATACATTAGGTGTGTTGTCTACAATCATTAAGTTGCAAAAATTTCTAGCAGTTTACAGTAATATTTGATCACATGGCACTGTTTTACAAGCCATGTTATTGAGCAAAGTTTAATACAAGACAAGAAACATATATAACAAGATATAACATGGTTCAAGGTGATCTTGTCCAGTGACATCATGTGTGCTTTGTGATAAAACATGATTTTGTGTGATGAAACATAATAATAATAATAACTTTATTACATAATTAAATCATCAGAGGATTTAGTAAGGTGAAGAGAATAACAAGACATAAATAAACAAATGTAATAAAAAAAAACACAGTAAAACTGAAAAAATAAAAAATAAAGAAATATCAAAATAATAACTTCAAGATTCTCACAACTTTTAATCAGGGGATTTATAGATAGTATCTTTAAGGTATAGTGAAAGGCTTTTTGCATTTTTCATTACCTCAAGAAAAATATCCACTGGTAAATTAGACTTGAGATCACAATCTTCAAAAAGTCTTTCCTTTCACTTTTAAAGGGAGGACATTTCAGGAGAATCTACCGGTATGTTACATCTTTTACATGTTCTGTCATCTAAAAAAATGTTTGGTTTGTTCCTTCTCCCTAGTTCAATCTCTAGATTGTGATCACTGAGTCTAAATTTACTTAACATTTTTCAGAGGTTGAAATTATTTATATTTTTTAGATAATTTTTTAAACTCAAAATTTTCTTTAAATAAACAGTAAGTCCTCAATTTATTTCATTCACCATCCTTACTATTTGCTTTTGTTAATTGATTTTTCCAAGACAATTTATAATCATTTGTCAGTTTTAATTTAATTACTTCTGACAATTGATTATTGTTACTCACACTAAATTTTGTTTCACTTTTGCTAACATTATGTTCTCCTAATACATGTATGTTGTCTACATGCTTAATCCATGTTGACTGTGATTTTACCATTTCATTTATATTGTTACCAGACAAAATGCTCAGTCTATAGCAGTATTTAATTTGTGAAATTGAGGCCTTCAATCTATTGGGAATTTTGCCTAATTCACCCCTGATGCCTATGGTTGGGGTCACTTTGCTAACACCCAAAACAAAACGATAGAACTGATTACACACCTGTATCAAGTTGTTGGCATCATTTGATAATTCACAAGCCCAAATTTCAAACCCATACCCATTGATCAAATAATTTCAAGCACACTGTTGTGTGATTTGTGATAAAACATAATGTCATGTGTGATTTGTGATAAAACATGATGTCATGTGTGATTTGTGATAAAATATGGTGTCATGTGTGATTTGTGATAAAACTTGGTGTCATGTGTGATTTGTGATAAAACATGTCATGTGTGATTTGTGATGAAACGTGATGTCATGTGTGATTTGTGATAAAATGTAATGTCATGTGTGATTTGTGATAAAACATAATGTCATGTGTGATTTGTGATAAAACATAATGTCATGTGTGATTTGTGATAAAACATGGTGTCATGTGTGATTTGTGATAAAACATGATGTCATATGTGATTTGTGATAAAACATGATGTCATGCGTGATTTGTGATAAAACATGTCATGTGTGATTTGTGATAAAACATGATGTCATGTGTGATTTGTGATAATCATGTCATGTGTGATTTGTGATAAAATAATGTCATGTGTAATTTGTGATAAAACATAATGTCATGTGTGATTTGTGATAACACTTGGTGTCATGTGTGATTTGTGATAAAACATAATGTTATGTGTGATTTGTGATAAAACTTGATGTCATGTGTGATTTGTGATAAAACATAATGTCATGTGTGATTTGTGATAAAACATAATGTCATGTGTGATTTGTGATAAAACATGATGTCATGCGTGATTTGTGATAAAACATGATGTCATGTGTGATTTGTGATTCGTGATAAAACATGTCATGTGTGATTTGTGATAAAACATAATGTCATTTGTGATTTGTGATAAAACAATGTCATGTGTGATTTGTGATAAAACATGTCATGTGTGATTTGTGATAAAACATGATGTCATGTGTGATTTGTGATAAAACGTGATGTCATGTGTGATTTGTGATAAAATGTGATGTCATGTGTGATTTGTGATAAAACAATGGCATGTGTGATTTGTGATAAAACATAATATCATGTGTGATTTGTGATAAAACATGTCATGTGTGATTTGTGATAAAACATAATGTTATGTGTGATTTGTGATAAAACATGATGTCATGCGTGATTTGTGATAAAACATGTCATGTGTGATTTGTGATAAAACATGATGTCATGTGTGATTTGTGATAATCATGTCATGTGTGATTTGTGATAAAATAATGTCATGTGTAATTTGTGATAAAACATAATGTCATGTGTGATTTGTAATAACACTTAGTGTCATGTGTGATTTGTGATAAAACATAATGTTATGTGTGATTTGTGATAAAACTTGATGTCATGTGTGATTTGTGATAAAACATAATGTCATGTGTGATTTGTGATAAAACATAATGTCATGTGTGATTTGTGATAAAACATGGTGTCATGTGTGATTTGTGATAAAACATGATGTCATGCGTGATTTGTGATAAAACATGATGTCATGTGTGATTTGTGATTCGTGATAAAACATGTCATGTGTGATTTGTGATAAAACATAATGTCATTTGTGATTTGTGATAAAACAATGTCATGTGTGATTTGTGATAAAACATGTCATGTGTGATTTGTGATAAAACATGATGTCATGTGTGATTTGTGATAAAACGTGATGTCATGTGTGATTTGTGATAAAATGTGATGTCATGTGTGATTTGTGACAAAACATGATGTCATGCGTGATTTGTGATAAAACATAATGTCATGTGTGATTTGTGATAAAACAATGTCATGTGTGATTTGTGATAAAACATGATGTCATGTGTGATTTGTGATAAAACATAATGTCATGTGTGATTTGTGATAAAACAATGGCATGTGTGATTTGTGATAAAACATAATATCATGTGTGATTTGTGATAAAACATGTCATGTGTGATTTGTGATAAAACATAATGTTATGTGTGATTTGTGATAAAACATAATGTCATGTGTGATTTGTTATAAAACTTGGTGTCATGTGTGATTTGTGATAAAACATAATGTCATGTGTGATTTGTGATAAAACATGATGTCATGTGTAATTTGTGATAAAACATGATGTCATGTGTGATTTGTGATAAAACATAATGTCATGTGTGATTTGTGATAAAACTTGGCGTCATGTGTAATTTGTGATAAAACATAATGTCATGTGTGATTTGTGATAAAACGTGATGTCATGTGTGATTTGTGATAAAACATAATGTCATGTGTGATTTGTGATTAAACATAATATCATGTGTGATTTGTGATAAAACATGTCATG